ATTTTACTATTTTTATTTAGGGTTTTTATTAATTTTAGTGGGCTAGGGTTTGTGTGGTGGCTTAGCAAATATATTGCTGAGCCGTCTACAGTTTTAGACAACACTTTATTTTATGCAATATTGGAGACAGAGAGAAGTGCTAGGGTTTTGAAGATTTTCTACTTGAAGGTGTTTTCAATCATTTTCTTAATAATATTTTCTATGATTTCAATTATGAATATGCGGAACTAATTTCTATTGCTAGGGCGAAGCCTTGAGCCTTAGCATGAATATGTGATTTTTATTTAATTGCTTATGATTGATTGCATGCGTACTTTGAATTGTTAATCACCGGGATAAAAACTATCTAATTGTTTTAATGCCTGATCACCATTAGGATTTTTAGAAAAGTAATTTGATGCAATTTTGGTCGGAAGGTTCCCTGAAATTGACGCTAGCTTCTTGTGATTAATAATTGTAATTTCTCTTAGGATGAATATCACGTCTTAAGGATTGCATGGTTTTTCAAAAGATTTTCATAAAGCATAATGAGTCTTTCATGTTTAGATTCGATCCGAACGTCCGGACGGGTTGCATGTTAGATATACGTTCTATGTTGGAGGTTCCAAGTAGAATATGAATTAGGAAAATCTAACCTTCAAAGTGGCATGTGTAGATTATAAGTAATTGGTAAAAATTCATAGGATTGCTAGGTGATGGTGGAACCCTAGTGCTTTCTTAATTTGATTTTCCCAAAACTGTTTTCTTCTCTCAAATCCTAATATTGCAGATTGTCTTATCATTAATAGTTAAATTCGTTTTTAATTTAAGTAGGTTATAAAATCAATCATCTAAATTTCTACTTTACAATCATTAATTGGAATCTGATTTGTTTCGAATTATTTAATAATCCCTGTGGAGAATGACCTTGCGAGATCCGTTTATACTACAATAACCTTGTGATTCTTGCAAGTAAAATAGAAGGTTTTTATCGCATTCACATAAGCAGTAAAAATCCTATCAAGGGGCATAAACCTTACCCTTCTAGAAACGCAAACAATAAAGATACGAGAAAATGAGGGGGACATAAAACCTAACCCCTCTAAAACCAAACGTAAAAGTTGAAACTTGCAAAACAGATTAAGCAACATCACAAGGTTAAGAAAAAAAATAAGAAAGTGAGTCAAACCTGTATGCCGATATGCAGATTAATTTGAGTAGCGGTAGCAAGGAAAGCTAACATAGTCTGAAAACAAAGTAGCACCAGCCGCCAAAGGAGGGGAATCGTGCCATACTAAAGTTGGAGAAGACAAGCCCATGTTAGCAAAATTGTCCGCAACAACATTTCCTTTGCAATATATGTGAGAGACATAGATAGTCATTTTTCGAATGTGATCCAAACAAGTAAACCATTGTGAACGAAGAGGCCAAGGAGGATCAAAATCAGTCGATTGGAGAGCAGAAAGTACATTAGAAGAGTCACTTTCCAATCAAAGATAATGCTAACCCCGTTGATATGCGAACTCTACACCAATAATAATTGCTGATAATTCTGCAAAGAAAGAGTTGTGATGACCAATCTCTTGGCAGAAGCCACCAAGAAATTGACAATGACAATCCCTGAAAACTCCTCCACAAGCTATAGGATCAGAATTTCCTTTGGACAAACCATCTGTATTAAGTTTAATCTAAGGAAACCAAGGAGAAGACCAAAGCACATGAAGAATAGTTGGCGCCTTGCGAGGGATAGGCTAGCCCCCATAGAAAAAATGATACGAGTGTCAAAACCTTGAGAACAACTAGGACTAAACTTCCCACTAGAATTGATAGACATGCAAAGATGACGAAAATAGATTGGGGCGACCCTAAAAAATAAACTTATTTCGAGCTTTCCAAATAGCCGAAATAGTATAAAGACCTGCAAAAATCCAAAGACTGTGTAGTTGTTTGAAAAAAGGCTTACGTACATAGACATCCCAAAAAGCAACCAGAGAATCTGAAAAAGACAAATAGGTACCAAATTGATATGCTAGCCACCTCCAAAGCTGCCTAGATATCCAATAACCAAAGAAAAGATGAATAGTAAATTCTTCGGAATTATGACATAAACAACAAATTAACATGCTAGCCATCTCTAAAGCTGTCTAGATATCCCACGTTCTCTCTTACTTTCTTCCTCTCTCCTTTAATTTAGAAACAAAAATAAATCAGAAAACAGACAATGCCCACGTAAGAAAAATGATTATAGACTTTTTATTTTAGAAAAATAAAATATAAACAAAGAAATTGCCACAAATGTAAGCGTGTAACAACTACTCTATACCTAAAAGCACAAAATTCTAGATGATCCAATCATATGATTGAGATTATTTTGTTACGTTAAATAAATTACCTCTTTTTTTTTTAATAGGTAAACAAAGACTTCTGTTAATTTAAAAAAAAAAGGTTTTATTATAATCTAGTGAGCCCTGGCAACTGAAAAGTACCTTAATTTTAAGACCCTAATTTTGTAGTGCGAGTCAAGCACACCATTGCCATTTGCCATCTTCCCCAATTCTGACCTCATTTCAGAAGGTTGTATCTTTTAAAATGTCTCCGGTAGGTGGGGGGGAGGCAGCTGGACTGGAGTACTTCCAACTACACATAAAATAGTTAATGTCTTATAAGACAAGTATATGATAGAATCTTAGCCTAACTACTGTTTCCATGACTTGGCTTCTTTCATGTTCTCGAATTCCTCTTCAAAGTTCAAAATTCAAACACTGGAATATTATTGTGTTCTCTTCTTCAAAGTCCAAAGTCCAGATTCCTATTACCAAAAAAAAAGTCTAGATTCCGCAGTTGATTGCTTTCCGTTGAAGATTTCCTGATAAATTTTATTTGAACTCATATAATCTATTTCTACATCTTATTTACTCTCTAAATTCATATTACTTTTAATTAAAGAATTAATATTTATTTAAACCCAAATTTATTACCTAAAGTACTATCCCAAACGTAATTAAAACGTATTTTATCTTTACATCCATTATAAAATAAAAGGAAAACTAATGAAAATGACTTGAAAACTTTGAGTTTTAACGATAAGAACAAAATAAAGGGTAAAGTGAATAGTATCAAGATTGACTTTTTATTGTAAAAATGTGGTTTTTCGTTAAAGTGAACAGTACCATGAGCTTTTCGTTAAAGTTCCCTAAAATAAAATCTTAAAGAAACTCGAAGGTCAAAAATCATATGAGTCCTTTGTCTCCCCTTCCACCTTGAGCTCTTTAGAAATAGAGCTTTTTGTTTTTCAAATTTTTCTCTGCAATTTTTAGCTTCACTACATCTTATTTAATTTTTTTGGTAAAGTTTCAATTTCTATTGGAGCTCTGTACAACATTATAACATTTTCCATGGCTGCTGTATTTTATTTATTTGTGTTTTTTGCTGCAATTATTTAATTTTATTTGATGAAAGATCTAACATGTACTCACGAACATGCACTACCCCAAGCAATTAATTAAAGGGAGTTTTAACGAAAAGCTTACGATACCGTTCACTTTAACGAAAACCACATTTTTACACTAAAAAGTCAAACCTGGTACTATTCACTTTACCCTTTATTTTGTCCTTATCGTTAAAACTCAAGGTTTTCAAGTCATTTTCATTAGTTTTCCTTTAATTAAAAGGAGAACAAATGTCAATCAGAACGGCAACAAATGTAAAATGAAGTTGAAATGAAAGGGTTTTGCATAGGAGGACAAACTAGCCTGGATTGACGAAAAAGAAAAAGTTGAAACCCAAACACTCATCTTCTACATTCTAAAAAAAATTAAAATCAGATGGACAAAAAGTTTTCATAAATCGAGTCATACCTTTGTTGGAGAATTTAAAACTTCAAAATCACCATCCATTGATAAAAAAAAAAAACTTATTTTCCTCTATAAAAGTTATTTGAGTTTTAGCCAGAATGAACGCATGATAAATAGTGAGTGATGGTAAAGTTTAATTATAGTGTGTGAGTTTATTGAAAAATTATGGTTTTATTATTAATTTCATTTTTGTACTTGATGGTAATTATGCAATAGGGTAAAAAAGACACTTTATATTTAAAATTTAAATTGAATGTAGATAGAAGTTACATGGATTTAAATAAAATTTCCGTTTCCATATTTCTATTTCAGTTTCTCAGTAATTTTTAACACTTCGATAATTAGATATTTTAGAAGATTTTGGTTGTTAAAAGTGAGGACTCACCAGTCACCATCAAGGAAATTACATGGAAAAACTACTTATTTTAATTTTGATTCCTTATTTGACCATCAGGCCATGATTTATGTTTGTCATGCCGGCCGGCTCTTAAATCTTCAATTTTTTTACTTCTTGAGTTGATGTATGAGTAGTGATTAGTGATGAGGCCAAAACATGAGTAGATAAATTAATAGCCCAAGTTGATGCGTCTCCCATAGTAGTATCTTCCCAATATTAGAAGATGTCCTAAGTTTGAATCCTCTTTTTCTCGAGGATAAAGAAAAAGAAGGGAAATCCAATACTCATTTTCTTAAGCATATTCCAACTCTGCTACAACTATATATGAGTCAACAGTTGAGCATAGAAATCAATTATGTACATTTTGGTGGACCTCACAAAGTTGTAAATTTCCTGAAAGCATCTTGATCTAGCTAAAAGTCAAAACTGACTAATCAGTCCAGACGGGTTGCTTAACCTCTTGCTAAGTACTAATCTTCCAGAAAGATCTGAGGGATGAAGAAAACAAATTAACATAATTACTCTTCTGTGTTTTTCGGTCTTTGTCGATCGACTTCATTGTTTTGCTAGCTAGCATCCCTTTGAAGTATGCTATACTCCAAAATATTTTGATTTGGTAATGTATAGTTTCATTCAACATCACGTGTAGCACTTTGATTTGGTCAAGGTAAACGGAAACTGGTCAATCGAAGGGTTTATTTCTTTTAATATCTTGACAGATTTATATTGGTCTGAAATCCTTCCATTCTATATATATACATATATTTATTTCTGTTGAATAACACAACCGGAGCTTGCAAAAGGCATACCAACATGAAAAGGAGGACACGAACCAACCTGGTTTGTTCTTTTTTCTTGCTTATTTCTTTAAGCATTAATCTTTCCCTGGTCATGGGGCAGAAGTCACAGAACACAACAATCCCAGTGAAAGTTGGTGTGGTTCTTGATGACCTTGATTCATCAAGTACAAAAGTTTGGTTGAGCTGCATCGAAATGGCCCTCTCCGACTTTTATACCTCCCGTGCTTCCTCTTCAACTAGGCTGGCCTTGAGCATTAGAGACTCGAGAGAAGACGTTGTCGATGCAGCTGCTGCAGGTTTCTCTCCCTCTCTCTCTCTCACTCTCTCTCTCTCTCTCTCTCGCCCTCCCTCTCTCTCTCTCATCTTGTGTTTTCATTTAAATTTTGCAATTTAATTTTGACTCCCATCTATACGTACGTAGCTTTTTATCTGATAAGACTATTTTTATTTGAAAAGAAGAAAAACTGTAACTTGTGCTTTTTTTATTGAAAAATAGCTTTAGACCTGATAAAGAATCTTCAAGTGCAAGCAATCTTAGGACCGAAATCATCGATGCAAGCCAACTTTGTAATTGATCTTGGAGAGGAAGCCCAAGTGCCCATAATGTCATTTTCAGCTACAAGTCCTTCCCTCACTTCAATTCGGAGTCCATATTTTTTCCGAGCTGTGCAAAATGATTCCTCTCAAGTCAAAGCTATAAGTGCTATCATCGAGGCCTTTGGATGGAGAGAAGCGGTGCCAATCTATGTGGACAACGAATACGGTGAGGGAATAATACCTTACTTGGCCGATGCCTTGCAAGAAGTTGAAGCTCGTATCCCGTATCGAAGTGTCATACCTCCAGAGGCCAGTGATGTTCAAATTGAGGCAGAGCTTTACAAGTTAATGACGATGCAAACTAGAGTCTTCATTGTGCACATGTTGCCCTCTCTTGGTAATCGCCTTTTCGCCAAGGCGCAAGAGATGGGAATGATGGATGAAGGCTATGTTTGGATCATGACTGGTGGGCTAACCAATCATATAACAGCAATGAGTTCTTCAGTGAGGACTTATGTGATGGAAGGTGCATTGGGCGTGAGGACTTATGTGCCCCAAACGGTGGAGCTTAAGGATTTTAGAGTTCGATGGAAAAAGAAATTTCAAATGGAAAATCCAAGCATAATTGATGCTGAACTAGATGTTCCTGCACTCCGGGCTTATGATGCTGCTTTTGCATTAGCCATGGCAGTTGAAAATGTCGGGACTAGGAACTTTGGCTTCGAAAAGATCAATGGTTCCACCAACTCATCAACTGATCTTGAAGCTTTGGGGCTCTCTCAAAATGGTCCAGAACTTTGCAAGTCCTTGGCAAGTACTAAATTTATAGGCCTCGCTGGGGATTTCAGTTTTGTTGATGGACAATTACAACCTTCCATCTTTGAAATGGTGAATGTTATTGGTCATGCAGCAAAACCAATTGGGTTTTGGACACCACAGGGTGGACTTGTGAAAAAATTGAAATTCACCAACACAGAAAATACTACATATTCAACTTCTAAATCGAATCTGGGACCTATTTTATGGCCAGGAGATTCTACCTCGGTTCCCAAGGGATGGGAGAACCCGACATATGGCAAAAGGTTGAGAGTAGGAGTTCCCGTAATTGATGGTTTTGCTGATTTTGTGAGGGTGGTACCTGATCCTAGCAACAATACAACCGAAGTTTCCGGGTTCTGTATCGACGTCTTTGATGCTGCAATGCGAAAATTGCCATATGCTGTTTCTTATGACTTGATTCCCTTTGCAAAGCCTGATGGTACAAGTGCTGGCACTTACAGTGATTTGGTCCATCAAGTTTTTCTTGGGGTATGTGAAATTAATATGAACTTGATTTTCTTCTATCTTTTCAATTTTCATGATCATTTGCAGTACTCATAATTTGTTGATGTGATATATTATAATGTTTTATGTCACAGAAATTCGACGCGTTGGCAGCGGACACAACAATTAGAGCAAACAGGTCTATGTATGTGGACTTCACATTGCCATACACGGAATCAGGAGTGGTAATGGTAGTGCCAATGAAAGACGGCAAGAGCAAAAATGCATGGATCTTCTTGAAGCCTTTGACATGGGACCTCTGGCTGACAAGTTCTTGCTTTTTTATCTTCATTGGTTTTGTGGTTTGGGTTCTTGAACACCGTATTAACGAAGAATTTCGAGGGCCTCCCTTGCATCAAGTCGGGACGAGCTTTTGGTTCTCCTTCTCGACCATGGTTTTTGCACACCGTAAATACTACTATACAACTTCATAACCATATTTATATACTACTCAAAATTCAACAATTAATTGTTTTTGTATCCACATTTTTTTAATTTGATTAATCTACAGGTGAGACGGTGATTAGCAACTTGGCAAGGTTTGTGGTGATTGTATGGGTGTTTGTGGTGCTGGTACTGACTCAAAGTTATACAGCCAGTTTAACTTCTCTATTAACAGTTCAACAACTTCAGCCAACTTTTACGAATTTAAGCGTTCTTATAAAGAATAAGGAGTATATCGGGTACATTAATGGTTCTTTTGTCCGCGAACTTCTGATACAAAATGGTGTTGATCCCTCCCAATTAAGGCCTTATAATTCTTCAGCACAATGTAATGAATTTTTAACAAACGGTGGTGCAAAAGGAGGTATTGCTGCTGCTATTGATGAAACCCCCAACATGAAGCTTTTTCTCGCAAAATATTGCTCTACATACACCATGATTGGCCCCATATTCAAAACTGATGGCTTTGGCTTTGTAAGCGCTCCCTCTTTACTTCGTTCACAAGTAATCCTACATGAAGCACATTATTGTTGTATATTGTGTATTATATATATGTTCCTTACACGCACACGCACACGCACACACAAAATACTCACTACAAATCCACTCGTGTGTCTAATAATATACGTCCCTCCTGTACAGGTCTTTCCAAAAGGTTCACCTCTTGTGTCGGATGTTTCGAGGGCAATTCTCAACGTGACTGAGGGAGATGAGATGAAGGACATTGAAAACAAATGGTTCACACCAGATACCACATGTTCGGATACAAAACCGACCATCTCTAATTCCAACAGTCTTGGCCTTGATAGCTTTTGGGGTCTCTTCCTCATTGCCGGGGTCTCTTCAATATCAGCTCTTATCATATTTGCAGCCTCCTTCTGTTATAGGCATCGGCACATTTTCATGACAACGGACGCCTCGGGATGGAAAAGAATTAGGGCCATGCTTAGATTCTTTGACCAAAAAGACCTCAGCTCTCATACTTTTAGACAGAGTGGCGCTCGAGATGGAACATCCTATAATGTTGAAGCTGCAGCTGTTGAGGCTTCACCAAACAATAACACCACCTGCCCACCAAGCCCTGAATCAGGCCGTTCAAACGATGCAGATCAAGACTCACATTTCTTCAGAGAGCAAGGAACACCTGTTGGTGAAATACCAAATACTCCTGAAGGAGCTCAGGAAACCAATAATTAATTAACATTTACAAGTTTGTAAATTTTTTGTATGATAATAATATAGTCACCCATGTATATATTTCTGTGAGGTCGATTTAGGTCAAGTTAGTGTTGCTAAAGTTTGGGTCTTTATTAGTTGAATCTTCAATACTCTGGGAGGGGGAAGATTAATATGGTATATATAACCTTTTGAGAGATTATGTTAATTAATTTGTTTTATATGTACACCTCAAGGCAATATATTTATATCTTTTATCTAAACAATAATATGTGTTATGATTTATGCATGCCAGTTTATATATACGAGGACGTTGACTTGTCACACACACAAATTAAGTTTTCGGTTGCTCCTAATCAAGCGTGGGTTTGGTTTCCCGAATTATTGTCTCCTATGTGTCTCTTTTTTAGTTTTGTGATACGTACCTTCTACTTAACTTTAAAATTAAGATAAAATTTAATTAAAAATTAAAAAACTCAACAAAACAAAAAATCCACCGTTGAAACTCATCATCCCCAATCTCCTGCAATCCTTCCCCCAATCTCCTGCAATCCTTCAAAAGAAACTCTTCAACCCCGTGGAAACTCATCATCCGTATCGTCCTAATCAACCCCGGAAACCAAACACTTCCAATACTGAAACAAAATGAATGAAATTTCACCACTGCCGTCGCTAGTACGGGAGACCCGTTTGTGCTGCGCATGGGGGAGTCAGGAAAGTCGGGGACTTTGGCTCTGGTGTAGAACTGGGATTCGATTCGGGGTGACAATTCATCAATGGGTTGGCGTTTGTGGGTTTTAGAAGAACGACTAGGAGTAGAAGAAGGAGAAGAGAAATGGGCCGCATGGAAGAAGCCATGGCGAGTGGTGGCGACGGCGGCCGTGATGAAATTTCTTTCCTTTGAAGGATTGCAAGAGATTGGGGATGATGAGTTTCAACAGTGGGTTTTTTATGTTTTGTTGAGTTTTTTAAGGTTTTTTATATTAACAACTTATAAAATGTTGAATGCATCCATATTAAAATTTAATATTAAATGATTTATTTACTTCACTATGCAATGATAATTTTGACTTAAAATTTTTTTATAAATACACCCTAAATCATTTTTAGTGTATTATGTATCTTCTCAACTATCAAAACCATCTCATCCTCCATTGTTGAACAAAACCCTAACAAACGAAACTACAAACATGTTGATTGAGAAAAATTGTTTTTGATGAATGGAACACGAAATCGATGTTTCTGAAGCTTCACATAAGGTAAGACTTCACATTTTTTATTGTTTTAGTGATTTCGATGACATCGATAATTATTTAATCTTGCGTTTACTGCATTATTTAAACTTCTATATTCTTATTCATCTTTTAGGATTCATATTAATCTTGCGTACCTAGTAACATGAGTCGTATTAGTGCTAGAGTCATGTACTACTTTTACAAATTGAGGATAGCCATTCTCCACATGAACTTCTACTCTCAATCTTTAGCCGTTTGATTGACGTACGTTTCTCATCGCGAGTTTTTCTTTCTTTTATCTTCTTCTTTTCTTGTCACTGGGACATGATCAATGGAAAATGAGGAGAGACATGGCCTATATTTTAAAGAAATCTGAGATCGATTCAGTTTTGATTTATTAATTAACTTCTACACCTGGATCATCAACAAGGTCTTTATTTATTTTGTTCAAGACTAAGTCTAAAGACTTGTAAAATATATATAGAAGCATTATTTGTTATCACTAACGAGAGAGTCTTTTTTTTTTAAATTTTTTTTTTTACTCGAAAAGACTCAACACCACGGGTCATATTTTTTAAGGCTTTTTAGAAGTTGAATAAGATGATTTCAAACTATACTAAGATGATTTCAAATCATCATTTTGAAATCATTTGGCAAACTAAACGTCAGATGATTTGAAATATTTCGACAAATTAAACATTCAAATGGTTAGATTCAATCCCTGAAAATTAAAAATGAGTGTTATAAGATTTGAGAAATGTGGGGTGTAAAGAAACACAAAATATAAGATGTATATTGAGAATGTGGGGTGTGAGGGTATTATGGAAAAGTATGTGGGGTGTATTAAGATAATTTTTAAGTGAAAAAACAAAGGGACACTTTGGATGCAGTGGGGCTTTAATATAATTAGTCTTTTTTAATTTTTAATTAGATTTTATGCAAAGTAACGGTGTTAAGTTTTAAAGTTAAGTGGAGAACACGTGTCACAAAACTAAAAAAAAGATATAGAAGAGACACATAATTTGGAACACCAAATCCGCGACCCCTAATCAATGTGTGCCCAATACGAAATGAGGGAGGGCTGGATAGCCCGGCCCAGACTAGTTAATGATCGTATTCTTATATAACTCTGGCCTCTTATTGGGGTTTAGGGTACTAACTGACACGTTTTAAAAAATCAGAGAAGCTAAAAAATGTCTAGTTCTTATGAAGCGTTGCGGCCTCTTATTAGGATTTAGGGTATAAATCGACACATTTCAAAAGACTGTTTCTTGCGAAAACGAATTTTGGTGTCTTGAGTATGTACATGTCTTTTTGGGCAAATCCGGCATTGCTGAAAACTAGTAGCGTGACTTTCTGGCTCTTCAGTCCACAAGAATCCAAGAAGATTACTGACCACAACGAAAGTCGGCTTGTTCAGATTATTCCGTATTTAAAAAAACCTTATAATTGGAAAAATTCATTTAGTTGACTGATTGTGATGTTCTTTAAGCTTGTATATCGATCATCTGTGTTGCAGACCTAGGTGTTGACTTGAGCAATGCTCCCTCCGAATCCAATTTTGCAAATAGATGTACATGGACTTTACAACGCCCTACACAGAATCTGGTGTAGCAATGGTTGTGCCAATCATAGACACAGGAGCAAACCTGCATGGGGTTTTCTTGAAGCCCTTGACATGTTTCTTCGTCTTCATTGGCTTTGTCATTTGGGTGCTTGAGCATCGAATTAATGAAGATTTTAGTGGCCCTCCCTCACATCAAGTTGGCACAAGCTTCTGGTTCTCTTTCTCAACCATGGTTTTTTCACATAGTAAGTTTGACACAAAGTTACACAGCTAATCTAGCATCACTGTTAACAGTCCAACAGCTCCAGCCAACCATTACTGATTTGAGGTGTCTTTTAAACTGGGGATTATGTCGGGTATGTCAAGAATTCTTATGTTTATGAGCTCTTGAAACAACTCAGTTTTGATGAATCCAAGCTTAAGGTTATTAAATCCATAGAAGGATGCAAGGAAGCTCTACCAAAAGGAAGTGCAAATGGTGGCTGTTGATGAAACTCCTATTTTCAAAACTGGAGGCTATGGCTTTGTAAGATCTTACTTTCCTTCTACAAAAACATACATAAAACACACAAAAATGTAAGGGGCTTGTAGCTCAAATGTTGAAAGCATTTATCACTTCTGATTCATCTGGGATCTTGTCGTCATTTCCCTCTTCCCAACTACCGCAAGCCAAATTTATATGTGGGTTAGTTAGTTCTCACATGATTTCTTTTTTTGGCTTACAGTGTTTCCAAAAATTTCACCTCTAGTACATGACGTTTCACAGGACGAGAAGATAATGAGCATTTAAAAAAAAAAGGTTCAGTCAAGAGAGCAGTTGCCAAGATAATTCAAATCCAAGAGTATAAAGTAACAGTCTTTGTTGGATATAAGTCAACAATCTGTGATAATTTATATATGCTAATAAATAATAAATGCAATAGACACTAACAGAATATAAACTAGAATATGAATTATAAAAACAGACAACTTGAAGATCGAGGCTTGCGTACCGCAATGTCCTTGAAACAAAAATTTCGTCCCTACTCTGTGCTTGTAGTTCTACGGACGTCTGCTTCACCAGGATTCAACGATCAAGTTAAAATTCCAGTACTGGAAAATTTAACTTCTGGCGAATTTAGTGTGGTTCTCTCAGTAAGAAGGTTTAGGAATGTAGAAGATGAAGTTGATTATTTTCTGTGTTTTAAATGCTATGCAGATGGATGTATATATAGCAAATGAATGTCTGTTTGCAACATGTATGAGAATGGGGTGTGACTGTTGGGAGACATCTCTTCAGAGGGGTGCTTTGCTCTGTGTTCAGAAAGAATTCTCAGACTTCATCTGAAAGGATGAGTCTTTTCATAAAAAATAAATAATTAATTTAATTCGAATTTAATTAAAAAATAATTAAGTAAATCCGAAAAATAATTAATTAAATAATTTAATTATTAGAGCCCAAGGCCCATCTTTTGACAATTAAATATATATTAAATATATATTAATTATATATTAATTACCAAATAATTAATACACCCCAAAGCCCAACCCCAAGGGTGAGCCCAATTTTAGTCTCCAAGCCTATTACTCTAATCACTTTCTTTAAAGGACAAAGCCTTATAAAGTGATAAAATCTTTTGGGAATGGCCAATGTGGGACAAAGAAATTTCTACTCAAACTACTCAAATTTCCAACATTTGTCACATCCCGGCCTGGCCCCCACCACATTCCGGGCTCGATTCCATCGTAGCACAATATTGTCTGCTTTGAGTCCTGACCACGCCCTCACGGTTTTGTTTCTAGGAACTCACACGAGAACTTCCCAGTATGTTACCCATCATGGGATTGCTCTTGTGCGAACTCGTTTAACTTCGGAGTTCCAATGAAATCTGAAGCCAGTGAGCTTCCAAAAAGTCTCATGCTAGGTAGAGATGAGAATATACATATAAAGCTTACATAATCCTCATCCTTGAGATGTGGGATTTTATTGACCTTGACAGCTTTTGGGGCCTTTTTCTTATTGCTGGGATGGCTTCAGTTCTATCTCTCATCATATTTTTAGGTTCTTTTCTATATAAAAATAGGCGTGTCTTGAATGGTGATTCAAGAGTTTCTACATGGAGAAGGATTAGGGTCACGCTCGAAATTTTTTATGGCAAAATATGAGCTCTCGTACTTTCAAAAGCTCAACAACGAGATGGAACCTCTAGTGTTCAGGATGAAGCCAAAACCTCACCAGATAACTGGCCGGAAAGTCCATTCAGCTATTTGAACGACGGAGTTAAGGACTTCGCATTATTCGAATTGCAACAAACACCACGGTCATGCGTCTATGGATATACGGTTTTTTGGGTGGAATTTGTGGCTTCAGCTATGATGCACGGATTTTTTTTTTTTTTTTTTTTTTTTTTTTTTTTTGGAAAACCTCGACGGTACGAGGGTAATTTTATTGATAACGAAAAAACAAGGTACACCTAGTCAGGGGGGGGACATAAACCTTACCCCTCCAAAAAACAGAGATAACAAAAAGGAATACACTAGAAAGAAGGGGGGACATAAACCTTACCCTTCTAGAAACAAAAAATGAGAATGATACAAAGAAAAGAGGGGGGGACATGAAACCTAACCCCTCTAGAACCAAACATGAAGGTCTAAACCTGCAAAACAAATCAAACAACACCATAAAGATAGGAGAAAAAAAGGAAAGTGAGACAAACCTGGATGCCGACATGCACATTAATTTGAGAAGCGGTAACCAGGCAAGCCAACATAGTCAGAAAACAGAGTAGCACGAACCGCCATCGGAGGAGAATCATGCCATGTTAAAGATGGAGAAGACAAGCCCATGTTAGCAAAATTGTCCGCAACAACAAGATTTCCTTCTCGATATATGTGAGATGCGTAGAAAGTCATTTTCCGAATGCGATCCAAACAAATAGACCATTGCGTATGAAGAGGCCAAGGAGGATCAAAATCAGATGATTGAAGAGCAGAAATAACACTAGAACTATCACTTTCCAACCAAAGACAGTGCCAACCCCGCTGATAAGCAAACTCAATACCAATAATAATTGCTGATAACTCTGCAAAAAAAGAGTTGCAATGACCAATCCGTTGACAGAAACCTCCGAGAAAACGACCATGGCAATTCCTGAAAACTCCTCCACATGCAGCAGGACCGGGATTTCCTTTAGACAAACCATCTGTATTAAGCTTAACCCAAGGAAACCAAGGAGGAGACCAAAGGACAGGAAGAATAGTAGGAGCCTTGCGAGGGATAGGTTGGATCCCCAAAGAAGAAATGATTCGAGTGTCAAAACCCTGAGAATAACCAGGAATAAACTTCCCACCATGAACAATCGCCGAATTAATAGACATGCAAAGACGATGAAAATAGATTGGACGACCCTCAAAAATAAATTTATTTCGAGCCTTCCAAATAGCTGAAATAGTAGAAAGACCCGCAAAAATCCATAGATTGTGCAATTGTTTGGAAAATGGCTTACGAACATATACATCCCAAAAAGCAACCAAAGAATCTGGAAGAGGTAAAGATGTACCAAATTGACATGCTAACCACCTCCAAAGTTGCCTAGATATCCGACATCCAAAGAAAAGATGAGCAGTAGATTCTTCAGAATTATGACATAAACAACAAAAATGGATGCCAAAGAAATACCACGTCGTTGTAACGCATCTTCTGTAGGAAGTTTATCATGAAAAAGCCTCCAAGCCAAAATAGATAGTCGTGGCGGAATAAAATGTTGCCAGATAACCTTAGCCCAAGCACAATCACTATGTCTCCTTCGAATAAGGTGATAACCAGAAGAAAAAGAAAACTTCCCAGTAGGTGAGGGCTCCCAAATCAATTTGTCATCCTTAGCATTTAAAGGCAAAGGTAGACGTAAAATCTGTTGCACAATTGAAGGGAATAAATTTGAAAAATAATCTGGCAAAGACCAACTTTGTGCTTCAATAACATCTGAAACCCGAGGAAGAACCTTAGGTGAAATGACCGAAAATAAAGAAGGACTAATAATAGGCTCATCCAACCATTTGTCAAACCAAAAGGAAACTGACCTCCCATCACCAATAATCCAACGACTATTATTATTCAAAATAGGCAAAGCACGCTTCAAACCATGCCACACAGAAGACCGTAAATAGATATTTTGATTTCTGTAAGGCGAAAGAGGAAAACGCTGACGAGCAAAAGAACCCCACAAAGAGTAAGATTGTAAAGCATCCCATCCAAAACTAAGCAAAGCCGTTAAATTCAAATAAGCTAAATCACGAAGACCAAGCCCACCTTCTTTTTTAGGTCCACACACCATACTCCAATCAACTGTTACCAATTTTCGGGAAGATAAATCCCCTGACCAAATAAAATTCCTTGCGCAAGCAGAAAGATGCTTTAAAATGCAAGATGGCAATTGATAAACTGAGAAGCTATGGAGAAATAAGCTTTGATAAACAGACTGTACCAATTGAAATCGTCCAGCCATTGAGAAAAGTTTACCTTTCCAACCCGAGAGGCGAGCTTTAGCCTTGTCTACCAAAGCTTGAAAGTGAATTCTCTTTGGCTTACCGCGAAAAATGAGTACCCCAAGATAAGTGAAAGGAACAACACCCAAACGAAAGCCAAGATGCCTAGAAACATGAGCTTTATGATGGGCTGAGGAAGAGCCGAGATAAAAAGTACTCTTAGATGCATTAACAAGTTGCCCCGATGCACAACCATACTTATCCAAGAAATTTCGAAGAGAACAAAGAGATCGAACATTCCCACGACAAAAAATGAAAAGATCATCAGCATATAACACATGAGTAGGAGGGCAACAACCTCGCGGAGCTGAAATAGAAGTAATCCTTCCAGTAGAGAAAAGCGAAGATAAACCTCTACTCAAAGCTTCATCTGCTAGACAAAAAAGAAGTGGAGAAAGAGGGTCACCCTGACGTACCCCTCGGGAGCAAGAGAAAAACCCATGCGGTGTGCCATTTACCAGAATTGAAAGGCGAGCTGACTGTAATAAAACCCGCACCCAATCCACAAAGATACTAGAAAAACCAAAACTAGAAAGCACATGGAGAAGAAAATCCCAGTTCAAAGTATCAAAAGCTTTAGCGATGTCGACTTTTATGCCTACATTACCTCCAAAAGCCTTTTTGTCCATAAAATTGAACCCTTCTGAAACTAGCCCAATGCAATCAGAAATACGTCTACCTTTCAAAAATGTCGTTTGTTGAGGAGAAATAATGCGAGTGGCAATTGGGCTGAGCCGATCAGAAAGAATCTTGGGGATAATTTTGAACAGAAAGTTAGCAAGAGCAATGGGCCGATACTGAGCAATTGTGGCAACACCTTCTACTTTAGGGATAAGCACCACAAAATTGCAATTGGCATTGGGATAAAGCCATCCACGCTTAAAAAAATCTTGTACAAAAGCAATCACATCTAAACCAACAATATCCCAGCATGACTGATAAAAGGAACTAGGAAAACCATCAGGTCCCGGAGCACTCGAAGGATCCATAGAAAAGACAACACTTCTAATTTCATCTGCTGAAGGTAAACAAGAAAGAGAAAGATTTTCCTCTTCACTAACCATAGGTGGTATTACACCACAAACATCCTCAATTCCAGTTGGGGTGAACGAAGAATTATATAAAGACTGATAAAAGTTTACCACATGATCAACAATAGCAGTATGTGAAGAGAGTACATTTTCACCATCTAAAAGATTTACAATCCTGGAGGAAGAATGCCTACCTCGAGCATAAGCATGGAAAAAAGCGGTATTACGATCACCCTCAGTGAGCCATTTAACTCGAGCACGGTCATGCCAAAAAGCTTCTTGCATCTGAAGAGCATCGAGGACAGCCGTCTTAGCCACAACTTCCTCATTAAACTTCTCTTGCGCGAATTCCCATCAGAAGAAATACTATTTTGGATATTCTGAAGTCTTTCTTTAGCAAAAGTGACATTTCTATGGACATCGCCAAAAACATTAGAGTTCCAAACTCGAAGACAGCGCTTAAGGGCCTTAAGCTTTTCCAACATAACAAACATGGGACACCCATAGACAACAGTTGATTGCCAACACTTAGCAACCAAACCAGAAAATTCTGAATGTAAAGTCCACATGGACTGAAACCGAAAAGGTCGCGGACCTCCAAGATGAATAGCAGAAGCCGAGAAAACTAGACAATTATGATCAGAAACGACCCTGGGTAAAGCACAACAACTAGTATAAGGCCAAGAATGTAACCAACGTGTGTCACAAAGAGAGCGGTCAAGACGCCTCTCCATGTAACCACGGACATTCCAACCATTAGTCCAAGTGTAAAAAGCACCAGTAGTATCCATATGAGTAAAGTCACAAAGCTCAGTAGTACTGCGAAAGTCCTCACATGAAGTTCGAGCAGGCAAGTGACCACCCATTTGCTCATGCGCTCCAAGGATAGCATTAAAGTCACCAATTGCCATCCACGGCATTGTAGTATTAGAACGGATATTTAAGAGGTCACACCATAAAACACGACGAAGAGTCGAGGTAGTAGCCGCATAAACAATAGTAAACTGAGAAAGAACACCCTCAAAAGAAGTCTGAAAAGTAACTTGTTGCCCTGAAGAAGAAATCACAGTAGGAGAACAATATTCCGTAGAGTACAAAACCCAAATATTAGGCAATAAATCATCCCTGTTATTGATAGTAAGTAAAGAGATACCTAATGAATTCCAATAAGCAGAAGGAATAGAATCAAAAGTAACCATAGGTTCAGAGATGCAAACCAAGTCAGGATGATGAGAGTGGCAAACATTAGAAAGCTCCGTACGTGTATCGGAATTACCAATACCGCGAATATTCCAATAAACTAGCTTCATTTGGAGGTAGAAATAACTTGTCTTCCTGCCCTTGTAACATAGGGTTCTTCTTGCCTACATGCATCAACTTTTTGGTTTTTCTTTTGTTTCTTTTGCTGGGATTTACTAAGAACTAGAGTAAAGTCATTTGAATCCTTCCCTGCATCCACAACATTGATCTCTTTCCTCAAACCAAAACCAGGTGGGACATCAACATCAACATTGTGGTCGATATTAATTTCTTCCGAAGGCACATCTCTCATCTCCTCTGAAAGAGTATCATTCAAGTTGCAAGAAGGGGAATCATTAATAATATTGGTTGGTTGTACCTTTAGAAGCTGTCTATCTGAAATTGTCTCTAGGTGACCATGAGGATCTGTTGATGAATCAATGACCTTGTCAGCCAACACACTTAGCTCATTATTCACAACAGTCATTAGTATTTGATTCGCAAAATCGTTGACTTGTTCAGTATGGCGTTGCTCAAGAGAGCTACAAAGTGGGGCTCCCATATCATTATTAAGTCCAGTAGATGATGCGAAATAGATAAGCACACAAATTAAACCCTCTTTTTGTCAAATTGTAGCAAAGATGTAAGTAGGGATCGTTCTAAACCGGGGATTAGGAGGGATTGCTAAACACTTGGAAACTGACTTAAAACTCAAAAACAAAGTTTAAAACACTAAACTAGACTCAACGAATGCAAAAGTAAAGGTTAAAACACTTAAACAAACCTAAAACTCAAAACAGCAACTAGAAGGCTCAAAACTGCCTAAAAACCACTTTCTGGGCAGTTTTGAGCACCTACACTAATTTGGACGAAATTTGATGAAAACTTGAATCAAAATACTTAGAAACACAAATCAAAACACTTTCTAACTAATCTAAGACTTCAAATTAAAGGGGGATTTGTTTTGGACGAAAATTTAACACAAAACAGAAACTTTAACTAACACAGATTGTAAAAACGATTTTGGTGAAATAGATGGTTAAAAGGCTAGTTAGGAGGTTCTTCTCCACACATGTCACACTTGCAAACAAAACGATTTTCAGTTGTTCTTCCGATAAACTATGAATACTCAACGCCCCAAATTAACCGTGAATTGCACTAATTAACCCTCAGTTTTTCCACAAGTTATTAGGTTGGATGATTGCATACGACAACCCAAAACATTCCCTACAAGTTCCCTACATGAATTGCATAATAGAGATACAAGCACGAATCATTACGTTCTATGAAAAACATAAGCATTGACGAAGCATTTGTCACTATGAATTGCATGAAACTTATGCTAAGAATTCATTCAACGCGATCGTTTTCAAGCGACCTTCACTACTTGTGATTATAAGATTGTAACTATTAGGTGAAACTCCCTCATAATCTAGCATCATATTCATGCATGAAATCTAAGCGTGCACTCTCAATCAACATACACAAAATAAGTCATCAATCAAATAGATGAACGAATTGAATCCACAACTTATGAAATAACAACTGAATGTAATCAAATCATATTGCAAGCATGTACATGGTTTCGAATTACCCCCCAAGTAAGGGGGTTTAGTTCCTCATACTCACAACACAAAGTTTATTGAATTGAAACATCGAAGACATAAGAAAGATTACACCTAAAACGCCCAAGAATTCCACTTTGAATTTCTGACTTCAAGCTCCTCTTTCTTCTTCTCCTTGCTGCGGCAGAGAGGGTTTAGGGTGTTTTTGGATGTGATTTTGGTTTTAGAAGGGAGTTAGGATGGTATGGTGGTGCGGGCAAGGGGTAGGGATGGTGTATGGAGGTGTAGGATGGTGTATGGAGGTGGATGGTAGCTGCGGCAAGGTTGGGAAGTGGCTGGAATGGATGAAGGCTGCGGCAAGGAGGTATATGGAGGATGGTGGCTGCGGCAAGGTGGGGAAATAAGGGTTGGATGATTTCTGATTTGTGGAGAGGGAGATGATATGCGGCAAGGTGTAAAACACATATATATAGGCACCTAAAACCCTAAGAAATCAGATTGGGCTAGGGTTAGGTGCGGCTACTTAAGTGGACTAGGGTTAAGGTTTGTAAAATAGGGCTTCTAGGATGGAAAGGTGCGGCATGGGCTTAGGGTTACTAATCAGATTTTTGCATGTGAACAAGGCCTAGGTGCGGCTGATTAAGTGGCTAGGGTTAGGGTTTAGGTGCGACATAGGTCCAAGAAGTAATGATGGGTCATCCAAAAGCCCAAAGCCGAGAATAGAAACTCACGAAAATGGAAACCTCCAAGAATAGAAACTTCCAACTTTAGAAACTTTGGTTGCCAATTCCGATTTAGGAAAGATCAACCCAAAATGGAAACTTTTAGGCTTAGCTTTCCTACTTCAAGTAGGAAACCTCAAATCTTCAACTCTTCAATTTCATCCCAACCTTGTGTTCCAAGCATGTCCTTTTCAATCCAAGCACACTTTTTGCTCCAAAAGCTCCAAATTGCATCATTTCATGTAAGATGTCCTTTAAACCTGGAAACACATGAAAGTAGCTTAAAAGACTACTTTAACGAAGAAAACATAACGAAAATGCATACGAACTAGCTAACTAAGGCGCATAAATATGCTCCTATCAGTAGAACGATTATTGTGAAGAATTTCAACTGAAGGGGAACGTTCCATGTGTATAGTATCACCTGGAGGAGAAACAGTCTTAGCCGATGGTTTTGGACGATAAACTTGACGAGTTAGTGATCGTCCACGACGATGCGCCTCAACATGCGGATGCATCCCATCAGAATGATTACCCTTTAAATGCCGGCATTTGTTTGTATTATGGCCAATTACACCACAATGTCCACAGGTTGGTGGCAAATTCTCATAAATAATATCAACAGAAAAACCATGTTGTTCCCGCTCAACCATAATAGTCGAAGGCAAATCAGCAGAAAGATCCACATCGACCAAAATTCTAGCATAATAACCATATAACTTTTCACGTGTAGCATGATCCAACTGGAGTGGGGTACCTACCCCACGAGCAATTTCTATAAGAATGCGAAGGTGCCAATACTCTTGACTTAGGCCATATATTTTGATCCATACCTGAGCATGTGTTTGGGGAAGGACATCACCAGGTTTGAAATCTGGTTGCCATTGAGACAGCCTAAAAAGACCAAATTGAAGTGTACAGGTTCCACCACCCCACACTCTTCTCATATCTTATTCGCTGGAAAAGTGAAGATCAAAATAGCCCTTGCCAAGAGGTACCAATTTCCATGAATTGTGAAGCTTCCATAAAGAAGCCAAAGCACTCTTGAGAAGCTCAGTCTTCATCGGCATCGTTCCTTTTTTTAACAAAAGCCTACCAATGAGGTTTGTTCGACATGAACGTAATTGTTCTTGATAAAGGTCCTCACTGATTTTAACATAAGTCACATCTCCCCGAACAGTAGGAGAGGGAAGTTGACTTAAATTAACTGAAGTTTCCACACCATTTGTGACAATGGCAGCAAAGGTTCGTGCCTTTGGAAGTTGTCCGGATAATTGACCAGTGGCAGTATTCAATTTGGAAGAAGTAGCAGAGAAGTCAAGAAATCCCCATGGGCATAAGGCAACGGGTGACTTGTCCATGGAAACCAAGAGATTAACCTAGAACAAAATGCATTCCAAAATAATAATATAAAAAAAATTAAATATAAAATTAGATAGTTCAACCTGTTGAAAAGTGTGTAGGTGCAACCAATTGTTGAAAATCCTTCAAAAGCAGAGTCTGTTGGTGCAGTATAGGTGCAGCAAGACCCTAAGAATTGCTTTAGATTAAAAACCCCAATTGCGGGTTATCGCAGTTCGCAAACAGCAGCCAATCTTCAACACCGAAGAGTAACCAGCGCAGCGAAATAACGAACCAAGACCAACGGATGGCGATGTGGAAGATTCAACAACGGCGCCGGGACGACGCCGCCTGGGACGACGCCGACAGAACACCGTCAAACCCTAGGGACACGAGCACGTGCGGCGCAGGAGAAGTAGGATGTCGCGCTGCACCTATTCTCACCAGCTATGATGCACGGATACTTCTTTGGTCCTGTATCCCGTGTCCGATACTTAATCGCATATGATACTTGCCTGATACTCTCGGATACTTGTCCGACACGTATCCCTGTTGATGGACAAGAATTTAACATGATGGATACGTGTATCCTACATTTAGGATACACATCTAACTTTTAGGATACATTTATACTTTCAAAAAAGATAATGAGGATGAGAAAATTAATAGAACATATCTATAATTGAAAGTTACTGAATACAAAAGTTCCCTCTAATTAAAACCATGATACGACTCTCACACTTCTTCTATTGCATAAAGAGGATTAGATTTCGAACTTTTTTTCTCTAACAACTCAAATGTACTTGAATTTAAATGATGAATTATGTTTTAAAATGTATATTTTTGTTGATTTATACATTTTTATTTGCCGTATCCATAGCGTATCGTATCTTAATTTTTAGGAAATTTTCATATCACCGTGTTATGTCATATCGTATTGCTGTTTCCGTATTCGTATCCATGCTTCATACGGCTTCAACCTATGAGGTTTATCATTTTTATCGTTCCTTCTCTAGCAGAATGTGAGAGATTACCTTAGTTCCAATTATTGATCTTGCCATAACTCTTCAAGAAATGCATATTACTCCTGATACAACTCAAGAAAACAATTGATATTCAGTGGGATAAAAAAAAATGGAATTCCTTTTTTTTTTGTATGCGTGTGTAAGTTAAGATCTTCATATGATTTGAAATCTTGTATGTAATTAAGTTGTAAGTCATACGCGTGTTTGTGTTTGTGTGTGTGTCTGAGGTTGATGAGTCATAAGAATATAAGATCCAAATTCTATATATACTAAAACCCAAACTCGTACTGTTCTAGGGCAGTGTACGGACCAAAATACCCCTCAATTCGTTTGTTAAGCCATTTTTTTGCACTCTTTTCTACAGTAAAATGATTTTCTTGCCCTCCGAGGCCACGTTTATCCTCTCCGGTTTCGATTTCTTTGGGTGTTTCGGTTCTCTCTCTCCATTATCAGGTTTTCCTTATTTTGTTTGACTCCTGCTCTCCCCGTCACCCTCCTTGCCTCACTCTTCTCCTACACCAAGCAGCTCGATTTAGGGCTTCACCATTTCTCTTCGAATCAAGGTCTCTATTTCTCTCCCTATTTTTCGAATTTAGGTTTCCTCTCTGTCTGTGGAAAAACCCTAGATTTTGCCACTCCCAGAAAGTCCAAGCTCGGCCTTTCGAGCTTCAATCCGCCTTGCCGATCGGCTCATCTCGACCCCTCCACCTAAACCCCTTTGGTAAATTTCCCAACTTTTCCCCAATTCTTTTTTCTCTCTATTTCTGCGCTTTCGAAAGGTTTCAGATTTTCGCCTTCTTAAGCTTATGTTTCTGAATTGACCTTGATTTTGTGTTTAATTCGGCTTGTTGCGTCGTGAAGCATGGACCCAAGCTCTTCGGGTTAAACCCTCCAGCTCATCAGATTGAATATTCCTGGAATATTCTTGAAATATTTCCTTGTTGACTTTTGTTGACTTTTTGGAAATTTAACCAGGATCATTCTTAAGGTAATTTGACGTCCTAAATCCGTTTCCGACGTCTGTTTTTTCAAATTCAATTTTTATAATATAGTTTTATAAATTGGACCATTTTTGTGCTAGGTGCAATTTATTGTGGCGTTTTGTCTCCGCTAGTTTGCGTGGCTCTTGGATGCGAAGTATCTGTGAGTGGACCCTTTCTAAAATGCATGTTTTAATAGTAGAAATGCATACATAGGAAAACATGATTTAACAATTATATTCTATGAAACGCTTTGAGATAACATGCTTATTGAGGCTAGTTTGAATTACTACTATTTTTCCTATAACCATGTTCTTTATAGAATATCTGATGGATGATGATATACTATTTAGAACATGTTTCGAACTCCTCTTTATAGTATAGATGATGGATGACTTTATACTATGAAGTTGCCTTTCAAATAAATGTATGTTCAATAGTTTTGTACTTACTTAGTGGTCCTTATTCCGTTACGGGACGAGGGATAGAGTCCGTCCCGGACGACGGTTACAGTGTTGGCATAGGGCCTGAAGGGTTTTTCCTTTCGCAATTAGCCCAGGGACGGGGAGCTGGCACGGGGCCTAAAGATGATTTTCCTCTGGCAATTGACACAGAGACGGGAAGGTGGCATGGGGGCTGAAGGGTTATTGGACATTCATTGGTGATTATTATATATACGAGATATGTTTTGAGACACTGCACGACATGCTAGGTTTCAGAAAACCTCTTTTTATCATGTTATATGAATTTTCATAAAACATGGGGTTAGTAGATAACTATTTTATTATATATATATATCAACTTGGTCCACTGTTTGTTTTGCACCCCTTTCAGGACTTAGAATTGAGGTGTACAATCCCGGCGTCCAGGCACTTCAACATCGGCATCTTCGAGTCCTCTTGGTGTAGGATCCACTCCTTTGTTTATTCAATTTTTATATTAATTCTTTTATTGTTCTAGATTAGATGTGTGCTCTCAACACGTTCCTTAAATGCATATTCATTATTTTTCTATTTATAAGTATTATTTATTCCTTGTTTTCAGCATTTGCATTCAATAAAAGGCTTTTGTCACCCTTGAGTGTTGGCCAGCACGCATCTACCCTGGTATTCGGGGAATATCAGGATCGGGACGTGTCAATTTTAGTAGGCCAGAATCTCGTTTTATTTCCTTTCTTTTACGCTGAATCTTAATTGTTTTCTTAAGTTCTATCAGGAGTTGTCTCCATAGATGCATGACTAGTAGAAGTAGATGGAGATTGTTGCCCTTCGTAGAATCTGAAATCCTTATCTATTTGGTTGAAGTAGCTGAATGGACTTCCAGGCCAGTTGCTATTAGGTGAGGCCTTAACTTCATCTTGAACACCAGCACTTCCATCTCTTTCTTGACTGCTTTTAAAATTATGGGAGCTGAGATCTTTGTCATCGAAAATTTCAAACATGGCTCGAACCCTTCTCCATTTCGAAGCTCTTGAATATTCAGCATGATTTAAGATATGACAATTATTGTGAAGAAATGAAACTGCAAATATGACGAGAGCAAGAATGGAAGCCACCCCGGCGATGAGGAATAGACCCCAAAAGCTTTCAAGCCCAAGACTGTTGTTTGAGACCGTTGGATTATCTTCACAATGGCTTCCTTGACTGAACCATCTGTTTTCAATTTTCATAATTTTCTCTCCTTCGGTCACATTTAGGACCGCCTGTGAAACGTCACATAACAGAGGAGAACGCTTTGGAAACACCTGCAAATTAAGTCATCAAAGAAGTCATTTTCTTGCCTCCATGTGCGTGCTGTTTATATATGTATAAAAGGAGAGAAAGATCTTACAAAGCCAAAGCCATCAGTCTTGAAGATTGGACCAATCATCGTATATTTGGAACAATACTTTGCAACAAAAAGCTTCATGTTGGGGGTTTCATCAATAACAGCAGCAATGCCACCCTTTCCACTCCCTTTGGAAAGTGCTTCATCAGATTCTTCCATGGAATTAACAGCCTTAAGCTTTGACTCTTCGAAACCGATGTCTTTCAGGAGTTCGTAAACAAAAGAACCTTGCATGTAACCAACAGGAACCCCACTTTTTACAAGATCCTTTACCCCAGTGACCGTTGGTTGGAGCTGTTGGACTGTTAATAATGATGCTAAATTAGCTGTGTAACTTTGTGTGAGTACTAGCACCACAAATACCCATATAATCATCAAGAATCTGGCCAAGTTGCTAACGACTTTCTCCCCTGAAAAAAGTGCAACAAAAATAAGTGTCGACCTAGGCAAAGGTTGAGGGAAGAAATTTAACGGTTGAAATATTTGGAGTTCATAAACTGAAACTAGGAAATGATGATGGAGAGTTACTATGTGAAAAAACCATGGTGGAGAAGGAGAACCAGAAGCTTGTGCCAATTTGATGCGAGGGAGGGCCACGAAAATCTTCATTAATTCGATGTTCAAGCACCCAAATGACAAAACCAATAAAGATGAAGAAACAAAGAATTGTTAGCCATAGGTCCCATGTCAAAGGCTTCAAGAAAACCCATGCGTTTTTAATCCTCATATCTCTGATTGGCACAACCATCACTACACCAGATTCTGTGTATGGCATTGTGAAGTCCACATACAAGGATCTATTCGCTCGAATTGTTGTATCTCCCACCACAGCATCAAATTTCTGTCCAGCAAACGACAGATTATCAAATCAGAAAATAGATATGATAACAATTCTGTTACACTTGAGTTAAAGACAGAATTTTAGGATAAGGAACAATGCACAATGCATGAAATCCTAACTGAAATAAGTTATAACAGCATGTATAATGCCGACTGAATTTTACCTCGAGATGTACTTGATAGACCAAATCGTTGTATGTGCCAGCGCTGGTGCCATCAGGATTTTCAAAGGGAATGAATTCATAAGGAAGAGCAAATGGCAATACACTCAATACAGCATCAAAGACATCAATACTGAACCCGGTGACTTCCGTTGTGTTAGTGTCAAGATTCTTAGTTACCTTAACAAACTCAGTATAACCAACCTTCACAGGAACTCCAATTCTCAACTTCTTGCCTTTTGTTGGGATCTCCCATCCCCTTGGAACAGATAGAGAATCTCCTGGCCATATAATCGGTCCAAAATTGCACTTCTTCGAAATTGAAAGTGTACTTTTGTTTGTTGAATTCAATGTTTTCACCATTCCATTTTCTGGTGTCCAAAATGCAATTGTTCTTACCCCATTACCATTTACATTGACTATCTTAAAAGTTGATGATTGAAGTTGCCCATCAACAAGACTAAAGTCTCCAGCTATGCCCTTGAATCTAGTAGTTGATAAGGCTTTGGCAAGTTTTGGACCATATTGAGAGACCTTGAACGTATCAAGATCGTTTGAGTTGAAGGAATCATTCATCTTTTGGAAACCAAAACTTGTATTCATCCCAACTTCTTCAATGGCCAAGGCTAGTGCAAATGCTGCATCATAAGCCCGAAGTGAAAAAGCGTCACAATCAACGTCAATCACATTCATGGTGGGATTGTCTTGCTGGAATTGCCTTCTCCACCGCATTTGGAATTTGTTAAGCTCCACTGTTTTTGGAACTTCTGTTTCCACACCTAATACTCCTTGCATTGCATTTTGTTGGATAGGACGCATTGACCATAAACGATTTCCTACTCCATTCGTTATGATCCAAACGTAGCCTTCACTCATCATTCCAATCTCTTTTGCCTTGGAAAATAGACTAGACGAGAGATTAGGCATCATGTGCACAATGAAGACTCTCGTTTGCATAGTTATTAACTTGTAAAGCTCTTCACCAATTTCATCATCAGTGGCTGATGGAGGAATCACACTACGATAGGGAACATGAGCATCCACCTCTTGTAGTGCATCAATTAAAGAGGGTATAACTCCCTCCCCGTACGTATCGTCTACATAAATTGGCACAACTTGTCTCCATCCAAAACATTTGACAAGGTCTCTTATGGCTTTCACTTGGTATGAGTCGGTTTGTGTAATCTGGAAGAAGTAAGAGCTACGGAGTGATGCGAGAGAAGGGCTTGTTGCAGAAAATGATAAAATTGGGACATGAGCTTGGTCTCCAAGATTAACAACGAAGCTCGCCTGCATTGATGTTTCTGGCCCTAGGATTGCTTGCACTTCTACATTTTTAATCAGATCCAGAGCTGTGTTCCATTGGAAAAAAGAAAGTTCAAAATGGTGATTGATTGATTTGATAAGATTAAACTTCTTATACATAATAAATTATTAATTAAAAAGATTAAATAATCTCTGTTAATGAATGAAATGATCCTTAGCTGCTAACTTATCAAAAGACAAAACTGAAAACCTACTCTTATTAAACAAATGAAATTTCTTGGGGAGGATAATTTTCCATAAAGTTGTTACTACTATTCAAACATTTGTTGATAATCAGTACTTTCTGTGTCATTTGAATCTCTAGTTTCCAATGCAAGCTTTCTTAAATTTACCAACAACAGGACGACAGTCCAAAAAAACAAAAAAAATAATCACTGTACACTCATATACGAGCTTCAAGATTTTGACTTACTACATGTTTTTAGTATAAAGGGAAATAATTTCTACATGTCCTTTCTCCTCTGCGCACCCTTGAACAATAGGAGTGTGCACAAGCAGAAAAAAAAATGTCGTGAAAAAAAAAATCATTTTCTAGACTGAATTATATGACATGATATATATAGAGGTAGGATCCGAGAACACACGATTTTGACACAAATTTTTATGGGCCCCACTCTTTATGTATTTCAATGATTCGAGCCATCTACCATTTAGGTTTTACCTCAAAGACCATGTCTACTAAAAATCACCGAAATCTAAAATCATATGATCGTTGGATTAAATTTAATGATTCTTTGTAGAGTCGTATGCATTCATTTTCTTCACTACAAATAAATGCCTGAATAATTTTGGATCCGTCTAAATTTTTTCAAGGATGATCTATGACTGATACACTAAAATATGGATGGTTCTAATCGTTGAAATACATTAAGTAGTGAGCCCTACAAAATGGGTGTCAAACTGTGTGTCAGAAGCATGTCTCTGAATTCTAACTCATATATATTTGGTTCCTGTTCCTAATCAACCTAATTGTTAGACTGAAATCTTATTTGTTTAAATATTTTGATCGAGGTCCTTAACCTCATTTAAGAGATTTAACTCATGCATTTATGCATTTAATGTCCCACAAATTATGAAAATTCAAATAATATTTTTAAATATAATAAGTACTTAAAAATCAATTTTAGAGTAATAGTGTTCTTCACAAACATTATAGCAAAAAAATAATGTACCCACATAATTATTAACATATTTTAGAAAATAACTATTGATATATTTTAAAACATAAAATAAATACATATAATTAGCATGGGTACATTTAGCAAAATTAAAAATGGGTACAAATAATTAAAAAATATGGGTACAAATATAAATAAGAGTTTAAAAAATATGGGCACACATTAAAACTGAAAAGAAAATTGGTACAAATTAAAAAAAAATGTTGCAAATTAAAAATGGGTACAAACTAATAAAAAAAAAATATGATAACAAATTTAGTCATGAATATAAATATAACAAATGTAACGTTTCTAACACTAAATGAATATATTTAGAAATAAAAAATATTTTCTTATTGAATAATTAATGACATTTATTAAAATCTAAGGATCTTGATCAAAAATTGAAAAGGAATAAAATTTTAATCTATGAAGTAGGAAAAATAGATATAAGAACCTAATTTTTCCATATATATATATATATATATATATATATATATCATGTAAAGCACGTGTCTCCGAATTGTAACTTATATATATGTGCATATTGGATACTATATGTCAATTATATAAAGTTACAACTAGTAGTACTTGCTATAAATAGTAGAAAATCTCATGTTAGCTAGAGAGATAGAGAGAACCTGCAGCAGCTGCACCAACAATATTTTCCTTGGAGTTCCTAGTATTCAAGACGAGCTTGGTCCTGTAGTGAGCATGAGATGCATAGAAGTCCTCCAGAGCCATTTTGATGCAACTCAAATAAACCTTCCCGCTCGGCGTATCAAGGTCGACAACAACTCCCACATTCACCGGGATCCTTGTGTCTCCGGCTGTAGTCACGGCCATATAGAAAAACCATGACAAGAGAAAGCAGAAAGAGATAAAACGTCTCCAGCTGATAGGACTCATGTTAACTCGAATGCTAGCTCGTGCAAGCTACTTTGTTGTGAAGATGAAACATATACAAACATATATATATATATATATATATACACACATTATACATATATAATATAAAACGTATAAGAATAACAAGAAGAAAATTAAGGATGGTTGGGTACTGAACTATAGTTTATCATGTCGAGATGATGGTATCTTATTTTTATACAGTAGGTAGATGTGAAATGAAAGTCCATGCGGTAGAAGATTCAAAATTCCAAAGATACCAGACAGAACAAACTAATTAATTAGGCATTTCTTCATTCAACTATTAAGGACCACTAAAAATATCTTACGCTGAATTAACAATGTATAACAGCCTAGTTATTGACTTGGTGTGCCATTAATATATATTACATAGTTGACAACATTGTATATTGTCCCTCCTACTCACTACTATTGTCTTTTTCATGTAATTAAATGCATAAATGGCAATTATATATTCTTTGTGTATTAAATAACTGATACAATGATATCGATCTGTCAATACATCTCGACAAATAAAGAATGAGCTGAAGAAAGTTGGGGTTTAATTCACCATAAAATTGATTGACAATATGAGGAGTGGAGAATTCCTTATAAGCCCTTGCAAGGTCCCTATTCCCATCAACGTGAGATTCATTATCAACATCCTCCTTCACGTGTGACGAATTTTCATACATGGCACGTGGACAACACAAATATGGTGACATGGAGCACCTGTAGCTGTTGGGTTTCACACATAGGATAACTTGCTCTGATACCATAAGAAAGTTAGATTTCCACCATAAAACCAATTGCAATATGGGTGAATTCCGATTCCTTATAAGCCCTAGCAAGGTCCCTCATTCCCCTCAATATGAGATTTATTCAGCGTCCCTTTCGTAGCCACGATATGAACTTTTGACCTCTAATAGACATCATGAGACCCACATGTTTATCAGTTCTAGAACAAATTGACTGCACATTAGATGATTGGTTAGAAAGATACAAATACTAGCAGTATTCTAAAGTCTTCCAGTACATTGCAACTATGCAGCTATAGGTTTGATTAATTAAAGAAACTCACAATACTGAACTTTCACAAGAATTATTGATAAGAATGTGAAATACCCGAAAAAAATCAAAAGACTTTAAACCTTTGTAAAGGTGGAGTCAGATTCAGAAATTTTGATTCTGCATTAAAGTGAGTGTTGGATTTATCCAATATAAATCAACCTTTAAAATGTCTACTACATGTAATAGGAATGTAATATTAGAGAATACTGTAAATTGTCATTTTATCACTTAAGATATCAATCTTATATTAAGTAGGATTGCTGGAAGCTAAGAAAGTGGGATTAGGTTTCCTTTATGGATGGGAACCCTAGCCCTTGGCTTGTATCAATACTAAGGTTCTGCTACTTAGTACTACGGTCGCTAGCTCATTGTGAGGCTATGCCTACTCACTCTGCTTAGTATAGATAATATCATTTGTTCAAAAAATAAAAATAAAAATTAAAATTAAAAAAAAAAAACAAACCAAGGTCCCTGCAAACCCTACTTTGCATAAAGTAATTGTACCCAGTTAGGTGTTTGTGGGCTTGTTTGGTGTTGCTGCAGCCTTCATCCTTCCATGTCCAACTTCCATGGTTGCCACGGAATCAGGTCAACCACTCTTTTGTTTATGTTTTAATTATAACCTTATAAGACTAACAATATCACAACCACTGATTATATGAATAAACCCAATTAAGTTCGACGTTTGATTGTATAAAATCGTTTGACATGCCTGACCTTGATATCCACTGAACACCAGGGTAGGCACTTGCTGGTCGACACTCGAAGGTGATGAAGCCATATTAAAATGCATGAGAACAAGAAATAAGTAAGACTTATAAATTTAAATATAAATAATATGTAAATGAGGAACGTGTTCAGAGCATACAACTAATCTAGAACACTAAAAAGAAAATAATATAAAATTTAATGAGTAGAGGAATAGGTCATACATCGTGAAGACTCGAAGATGCCGATGCGGAACTGCATTGACTCCGGGATTGTACGCCTCGATTCTAATGTCCTGAGGGGGCGCAAAACAAACATGAGTGGACCAAGTTGATATATATAATATACTGAAACAGTTATCAACATACTAACCCCTTAAGTTTTATGAAAACTAATAGCATAATAAGTGGTAGGTTTTCCGAAAACCCTAGCATACCATAAAACATCTCATAAAACATATCTCGTATATAGTGTGCTAAATAGTGGTATCATAATTGCTCGAAGTTAGGACATATGCCCGAAGATAGAACATACTCCACGTGTTTGGAGGTAGAACATACGTCACTCGCCCGAAGGCAGAGCATACACTTGAAGGTAGGACATTGCTCGAAGGCAGGACATTGACCACTAGATAAGCACAAAACCATTGAACATAGACTTTCCAAACATAGGTATGTATATCTCAAAAACATCTTCATAGTATAAAGTCATCCATCATCTATACTATAAAGAAGTGTGCAAAAACATGTTCATAAGCACTATAAAGTCATCCATCATCTATACTACAAAAAACATGAGTTCGATAAAATATGATATTCCAAAATTTTCTCAGTAAGCATAATATCTCATAAAACATTTCACAAAACGTAATCATTAAAATCATGCTTTTCATGTATGCATTTATACTATTAAAACATGCATTTTAGAAGGGGTCCACTCACAGATACTTTGTCGTTGAAAAGCCACGCAAGTTAGTGAAGACGGAAGCGCCACAATAAATGCACCTAAGCACGTAAAGGGGTCCAATTAATAAAACTCTAATCAAAGGATTGAATTTGAGAAAACGGATCCAAGACGTTGAAATTAGCCTAGGAGGAGTCCCGAACGAAACCCAAAAAAGTCAACAAAAAGTCAACTTTGATGGGTCAAAGTCAACTTTGATGGGTCAAAGTCAACTTTGATGGGTCAAAGTCAACTTTGATGGGTCAAAGTCAAAGTCAACGGTCAAACGGGTCCAGGTCAGATTGGGTTGGGCTTAAGACTATCGGGCCGGAGGCCCAGATTGGATGGCCCAATGGCCTATCTTTCTGGGTTAGGTTTGATTTACACGAGCCCAAAGGCCCAACTTCCACAAGGCCTTAAGGCCTATTTCAAAGGGTTTAGGCTCGGATGCACCCTAAGGTTCGAAAGGGTTAAGGGGTTTTCAAATAGGCTGGGCTTGAAGCCTGGCTCGATTGTTTTTGGATTTTTAAAAGAAAAGAAAATAAATAAAAATAAAAAGGGTTTGGGTTAAGTTTAAAGCTCACGGGCCAAAGCCCTTTGGTCTTGGGCTAAGGGTTTAGCAAGCCTAAGGCCCTAGGTTCCTTGGCCCAAAGGTGTTGGCTACCTGTTCTTGCAGGGGAAGGAGGCCGGAGCCTCCCGAGCTTTGGTCGACGTCGCTGCTCACACCTAGGACTTGATCTAGGTACCAAAATGAAATAGAGACGAGAGAGAAATATTTGTTACCTTCTAATTGTCGTGGAATGGCCGGAGGTGGCTGGTTCCTGGCTTGAAACCCATTGGGTTCGCCGGAGTTTGGGTTTGGGTGCCTTCTAGGTGTCCCGTTTCTTCACAGAGATGAGGAAGAGGGAGAGTGCTACCACGGTGGACGTGGTGGTGTCGTCGTCGTAGTTGCTTTCCTTGATTTGGGTGTGTGGATGTGTGAATGAATTGGGATGAAGGAGAGAATCCGAGAGAGATAGGGTGAGTGTGTAAGAAAGAGTGATAGAGAGCTGAGAAAGTGAGTGCTCGGGGAGAAGAGAAAGGAGAAAGGAAGTGGGTAGGGGTCTGCCACGTGGCAGGCAGGGGAGAAGGGAACCGAGGACAGAAAATCAGGGGTGGGCCCTTGGGCACACTATTTAAGGTCCAAAACAAATCCCTTTCATACACATTTTTAAAACCAAAGTGAAATTACCAAACTAACCTTCTATTCCGTAAAACCCGTAAAATAAATCAGGACGGGTTGTCACATCATTTCACAAGGTAAATGAATTGGATTGTTGACCTTAAATTCAAGGTGTGATTGCATATACTTGGCATGCTAATTTGATATGCATAGCATATATTCTCCTATCAGTTCCTTTTGATCTTATAAATATAAAGTCTTGGAGGCGCGTTTACTAATCCGTAATTAGATTGAGATGAATTGAATTGAAGATGAATTGGATTCAGGATGAATTGAAATGAGGTGGAATCAGAATTATATTCTTGTTGAAGTTGTTTACTAAAACTATATGGAATCAGAGTAGGAAAGATGCTTGAGTCTATATAAGTTGTTTACTAATTCACTTTAATAGGAATTTAAACTAGGTAGATTACTAAATTGCCCTTACATAAATAAATTATTTCATACAATTAATTAAATTTATCTATATAAAAATATTTAAATAGGTTTTATTTATTTATTTTTTTAGAGAAAGTTTTATTTTATTTATTAAAAGATGGTTATTTCCATCCATCCCCCACATGTCTATCTTTGCCATGGCTCCCTTTCATCTTAAAGGTATTTCTTCCCAGTCGCATAGCCCTCTACCCACCCTTACCTTTCCTTGCCCTGACTCTATCTTCCACCCTTTTACCCCTTCATAGCCATCGCCCCATAGCTAGGCCCTTCATGGTCCAGTGCGAAGCAGCCTCGTCACTGTCTAGATCCCGGTGCACTACTTTGGGTAAGAGTCCAGCAATTCAGTGAAATGAGTGGAGATTAGGCTAGGTATGTGATGTGGCCCTGGGTGGCGGAGGGTGTGGTGTTGACAAAGATGGAAAATGAGCATGAGTGTCAAATGAAGGGCAATGTTGGGATAATAAGAAACAAGTAAGGGCATAATTGGTAAAAAGAATCCATTATGGATTCCTTAGATGTCCAGGAATTAAAATACCTAGGGAGTCCAATTCCTCCAAAATAAGGAGTGGGAT